CGGCGCCGGCCATAAATGAAATCTTTTTAAAAAATTAAAAACTAAAAGAAGCAATTTCTAATTTAAAAAATAAAAAGCCTTAGAATTATTCACGTTTAGTTGTTCAGTAAACCTCAAGACAGCAGCAGGAAATGGTCTTTCAGGTGACACAGGCGGCAGCTGCCTCTCTGCAGCCTGGCTTTAGTCTCAGCCATCAGACCCCATGAGCCCCGTTCCTTGAAGGCCTTCTGAGGCCATAAAGGTTTCTGAGGACATTTTGTAGAGCCAGAGTGCAGCCTTGCTCTTTAAAACTATTATCGGGCTTATGGTTACTGTATCTTCATTTTCATGACAAGTCTTGGCTATGCCCTTGATTTATTTGATATTGAGGCTTTTGTTCAAGAACACAACCTCCAATTAAACGTGGTTTCTGTGGCAAAAATATGACTCTCCTTAGAGTGACCCTCCTTGGGGCCATTTCCAAAAACTCATTATGGTGAGAAGTCAGGGCTGCCTATTCATGTCCTGGGCATTTCTCCCGTGGTCACTCGGTTTCCCCATATGGAGGATTAGAGGGTACTGAAGCTGTGGGTTGGGCCCACAGGAGAGTGGAAGGGAGAGGAAAGAATCTTCCCCAGGAAGCTAAGTGGGTCACCATTTAAAAGCATAAAAATTCAGAGATGGAAGGAACCTTAGATAGCAAGAGCAGCATTTTCTTCAACAAAAGGGAGGTATTACAACCCTAAGAGGAAAGGAGGCCAGGCCAGGCACGGGACACTCAGGCCACAGATCTCCAGCTCTCCTCTCTGCATTACTGACTGTCCCAGGGGTGTCGCTGACATATGCACAGCCCCTACCCTGTCCCGCTGTGGATCCTGGACGACAGCCCAAGATCTACTCCTGGTGTGACCGTATCGTTTGTGACCCGTTTGATTTCTTTCATACGTGAGGAGCAGCTTCTGCTTTAACCTTTAAGACATCGAAGGCCTGTTAGATAACGGACACTTATCTAATAGGCTTGGGTTCTAGAAAACATGGGTCCCCAAAACCATGAATAGACAATGGAGGCAGTCACTCTGCTTGAAGTCCAACATCGCAGACTCAAATCTGCCACGTGAAATCACTGGCAAACCGTCCACCCCTCCAGGCCTCTTGTCAGCTGCGTGTGCTTGACGTTGGGGCCAGCTCTGTGGCTGTTGTGGATGCTCCTGGTTCCCAGCATCAGGCCGTTCCCAGCCACGTGGGGTGATGACAAGCGTTTGTGGATAAGGTCCTCTGAAGCCCTATGTTAGGTTCTGCCCTGGTATCCCAGCCTACACACCTCCCTCAGTGTTGCAAGAACAGCTTCTGTGTGGGGAAGGCCTCTGATGAGGGAAGGACCAGTAGATCATTGCCATGCTCTGGATGAAGCCCTGACCGTCAGAGTCTCAGCTGTAGCTTTGTGGCTGAAGGGCAGAGAGGAGGGCAGGTGGGGCTGCCAGGGAGGGCAGGACTGCGGTCACGCATCCCAAGGATGTGGCCCAATGCCTCTCTTCCGTCCCAACCTAGGAGCCCAGGAGAGTGGGCAGACAGTAAAAATGGGTTTCCTTGAAGCTGAATAATTTTTAGGCAATGTTAGAAGTTGAACACATTTTCCCTGGATTGGAAGGACAAGGAGTGACGTTGCAAATCATTTAGACCTTGGAACTGAGCAAGGTGACAGAAATTCCTGCCTTTGCTTCAGATCCAAAATACTATATAAATATCATTGGAAAACTCCAATGCCAGTGTCAGCATATTTTTGAATTCCTGAATATTTCTTTTAGCAGGGCATTTCAGAGGTAAGTTTGGGGAACGTGTAGAAAGTGAGAGGAAAAGAGAAAGAGACTGAGGGATCGTGTCCCTGAGCTCTGGAGTGCTTGCAACTTCCCTGGTTAATCATTGGTGATTCCAGGCCTAATGGGCAACCAGAGCCGGCCAGCGTGCCTGTGGATGGCCCTGCTGCAGGGGACCAGCGTGCCTGTGGATGGCCCTGCTGCAGGGGACCAGTGTGCCTGCGGATGGACCTGCTGCAGGGGACCAGCGTGCCTGCGGATGGACCTGCTGCAAGGGGCCAGCATTCCTGTGGATGGCCCTGCTGCAGGGGGCCAGCGTGCCTGCAGATGGACCTGCTCAGGGGGCCAGCGTGCCTGTGGATGGCCCTGCTGCAGGGGGCCAGCTGCCTACTGATGGAATGCAGGGAGGCCTTTGGTGCAGTTAATGATTCATCTCCTGCCAGAGCAGAGCTCCTCCACTCCTCCTCTCTGTCCCATCCTCCCCTGGCGGGCAGGCCAGCCTTTGGGAATTCACCACGGGACCCTCTGCCAAGGCTCCTCCTCCTGCAGGAAAGGGTTTGCTCTGCTGTTCTCAACCGGGTAGCTGTTGTCTGATGTTCCTTCACGTGAGCCTTTGTGCCAAGCTAGGGCCACCCAGGGACATGAATTTACACAGACGCATGACACATGTCACCTGCAAATGCGCCACGTTTGTCTGTGCAGCCTTTTGCTTTCTGTTGCCAGACTCAAGCACTGTGAGGGCCTCGCATGTGCCGCACGTTTGTTTTACAGACACACTAACATAAAAGGAACCCATGTTTTACATTTAACTTTTTTTCTCTTTCACAAAGGCAGGTATGTTATGTGCAGAAATACAAGAAACCAATTGTTGACTAAAAGGGAAAGAGCAGAGAACCTCAATCTCACCCACCCAGAGACAACCACAGTTAACGTTTTGTTCCTAATTGTAACAGCTGTGAGGTCCTCAGTCCCCAGAACTGGTCCACCTAAGGTGTGATGCATTTGCTCTGGTGGGACTACGGTGGCCTGACATACAGTTGACTTACTTTTGGGGGGATCGGCTTCAGAATCTGAGCATCTCCACACATATGTTCCAACTCTGTCGCCAGTACAGTTTAGATTCTCATAGGAAAGGGACTTTTTTGTTTGTTTCCAAAAGTTACAAATAAGGAAATAAGGCAGGTAATAGGATTCAGAGTTGTGTTTTGTTGCTGTTCCTTGTTCATCGAAGCCTGGCTTCAAATTACTGGGGCTGCATGGGCAGGTCTTGGGAGACTCAGAGGCTAGGCTGAAGGGGTGATTCAGTGGAGTAACCAAGGGGCGATGGCTCCCTCCAAGGGCTCGCGCTGTGCTTTGAGGCTCCTTCCCCAGCAAGAAATCCACATCCCGGCTACTGAGGATCGGGTCTGTGGAGGGGAACTGAGCTCTGTCCACAGACAAATAGTGATGCTTTCAGCACAGGTCTTCCTGCGCCAAGTGCTTGTGGTCGTAACCGTAGTTGGATGCCACCCCGTGGGCCGAGACAGCATCACTCCCTGACCTCACAGGAAGTTGTCAGGAGGATTCTTCTAAGTCATTGGTGGCTTGCTTTGTACATGCTATTTGGGATCATGTAGCAAATTTTGATTTTGCTTCATCTGTACCCATTCTCCCTTGTCTCAGAGGAGGTATGTGCGTAAGAGCTGCTGCTGCCACTACTTTGTAACCCAATCACCTTCATCCTTAAGAGGCTTCTGTGATGTCACCTGTACCTTCCCAGGGCTACGGTCTCCCACTTCTGGGTCCTCGGCTATGCACTGGTGAGCTGAGCCCTGCTGCTCCCTTCTGTGGGGCCTGTTGGGTTTCAGGTGTTTGAGGGCCTAGGAAGCTTTCTGTTTCTAAACTCTAAGTGAATTCTTTGCTTGGAATTGACCTCTGTATTTTCCTCTTTCTTGAGAGCTGACCTGTCTCTGAATGAGTTACTGTGAGGTTCAGATGCCTCAGTAGTTAGATAAATGCTGAACATTCAACAGCTGCCAGCTGCTATCTCAGAGAAAGGTTCAGGGCAGTGCTGCCCCAGGGAGGCCACGTGACTGCTGTATGTACCTATGTGTATAGTTGTCACTCTTCTAGTAGCCACTTTAAAAGCAGGCAGAGGGGCACGAATTTAGCACAGCAATTAAGACACTGCTTGGGGTGCCCGCATCCCATATCGGACTTCCTGGTTTGAATCCTGGCTCTATTTCCAATCCAGCTTCCTGCTAATGCACACCCTGGGAGGCACCAGATGATGGCTCCAGTACTTGGGTCCCTGCCACCCACATGGGAGGCTCCTGGCTTCAACTTGGCCCAACTCAGCTGTTGTGGGCATTGGGGGAATCAACCAATGGTTGGAAGACTTCTCCTGACCCCACCCCCCGGCCATGGGTAGGGGTGTGTGTGTGTGTGTGTGTGTGTCTGCCTTTCAAATAAATATTTTTTAAAAGTAGAAACAGATGAAATTAATCTTAATAATTTATTTAACCAACATATCAGAAATACTATTTTTTTCAACATGTAATCAATATTTTCAAATTACTGAGATTTTTGCAGTCCTTTTTTTTTCCTACTGTCTTTAAAACCCAGTGTGTAATGTACACTCACAGTGCAGCTCAGTCTCACTCACCACATTCCAGGTGCCCCACTGCAACCTGTGGCTATGGCTACCACACTGGGAGGTGCAGGTCCCAGTCCTTGCGACTCAAGGTGAGCTCCAGGATCCAGCAGGGTCACTGAGCTTGTCCTAGATGCAGCATCGTGGGCCACAACCCAGACGTGTAGAAGCAGAATATGTATTCTAACAAGATCCTGCAGGGATTTATTTGAGTGTTAGGGCGAGAAGCACTGGCCTAGGGGTCATGCTCAGTCCCTACCAGTGGGGTTCAGATTTAGTTGGCCTAGGGTGGGACCTGGGCACTCCCCAGTGACTTACACACAGCCAGGCTGAAGAGGCACAGGGGCAGTGGGCTCTGGGGCCAGGATGCACCTTGTACCTTCAAGACCTTGGGAAATCACTCAAATCCTGTGGGCCTGTTTCCTCCTCTGTATAGTGGCGGTGAAAGTAGTGTCTGCATCAAGGGTTGAAATGAGAACCAGAGACTGAGCTCGCAGCAGAAGCTCAGACCACAGCTGGCACAGAGTGAGCACTCAGGAGATAGAAGCTCTTACTCTTTCTGCTTCTCCTTGAAGGTCCGGGGTTACCCAGAGCCCCAGGTGACGTGGCACCGAAACGGGCAGCCCCTCCCCAGAGGGGGCCGCTTCCTGCAGGACCACGGTACCCGGGGGAACTTCAGCCTCGTGATCCACGCTGTCCAGGAGGAGGACAAGGGGAAGTACACCTGTGAGGCCAGCAACGGCAGCGGTGCCCGCCAGGTGACCGTGGAGCTGACGGTGGAAGGTGAGCTCCTGCCTCAGTACTGCAGCTCCGCCTCAGCCTCTCTTGAGAAATGGAGGAGCTCAGGGCCGGTGCTGTGGCCCAGTAGGTAGAGCCACTGCCTGCGACACTGGCATCTCATGTGGGTTATCAGGAACATCACCTGCGAGGACTGTGGAGGGAGGGTTGAGGTGGCTGGGGAAGGTTCCAGAAGGGGCAAGGTGCACTTCTCTCTGCCCTGTTTGCCTTGTTTCCCCACACCGTGGGAGGGCACACAGGCTGTTTCTCAGGCCGAATGCACATAGTTTGCGTGCTTTCCTTAAATTCTTTCATCGTGACTCACCTGTCTCAATGACCTCCAAATGCCATGGCAGAGCACTCCTGATGGACAGTGGCCCCGGCCAGGTCTCGGGAGGGACCTCAGCTCTGCTGTGCTGGTGCTGTGCTGTCCCCTACATTACCACACTTGTCAGTGCCCAGACTTTGAGCTGAGGCCTACAAATAACAATTACCCTGTCTCCTTTTCTGAGGTCCTGTTTGCAGCCAGGGGAATGCAGAGAGCGCTGAGTTATGCTTCAGGGGCTGAGGTCCTGGTCCTGACTTTTGCCATTCAGATGTGTGACTTGAAACCTCCTGACCTCTGTTTCCGCAGAGTTGAGGGTTTGGATTCAAGGTCTCCACAGCCTGCCCCAGTCCTCATTTGCTATGATCCATGTTAAAGAAAGGCTGGAGTGAGTAAGTCCTGGGCAGGTATATAAAACCTGGTTGATACGAAAACCTTCTCTGCCATCCCCATTGTTCAGGAAGTTGGATTTGATGGCTCAACCAAGTAGGTCCTGGCCCTTCAGGGAGGAGGAGGAGATAGGGCAGGAGGGCTTCAGAGGAAGGGGAGAAGACTCGGGCTCTTGATCCTGCTCTCTCCCCTTTGATATTAATTTGGGGGGACCCTGGCCCAGGCCATCCAAGATGCCACATGTCTTCAAGGCTGGAGGCCCTGGGTATGCACCAAAGGCTGCTTCCAGCTGCTGTGTGCTGTGGAGTCATCCAAAGAGCACAGGCCTGGAAGGATGCACTTCTCCCATGGATTTGTTGTTGACTGCGTCAGGCTAACCCAGACTTGTACACAGGGAAGCCAGCAGCCCTTCTGCCTTCTCTCCTGCTCTCTGTGGTGCGCTTGCTACTTGGAGAGAACAGAGAGAGACCCTAGGATTAAGAACACGAATCATACCTGAAGCCCTTCATGATCAAGTTTGGGAGGCCGTGTTGTGGGGTGGAACGAAACTCAAGTGGTCTTGGATTAAAATTAGTTCTATTACTTTTCTAACGGGGGAAATTGATCTTTCCGAGCCTTCTTTTCCTTTCTGTAAGTTGGAGCTCACGGCTGTCCCACGGGGTGGCGCAGGGAGAAGCACGGCCACTGGCGAATGGCTCCCAGCAGTCATCATAATTACTTGAACTTGCATCAGGGTCCTTGGATCTATGTACAGAGGGAAGCCTGCAAGTAGAAAGTGTCCTCACCTGACTGCCAATTCAGCAATCGGAACCAAGACACTTGCAGTGTCTCCTATGAGAACAAGTGCCTAAATGAGAGGACCACATGGCCACTCAGGGCCTTGCACACAGGAGCCAATCTTAGGCTGAGCCCCAGAAAAGGCTCCCTAAAGCTGGCTCTGGTACCCACCCACCTCCCGGGGGCAGGCCACTGAGGCCTGGTACAGAGCCAGAAAGAGGCACAGCACCCACCATCTGGGAGCTTCCTCTGATGCACAGGCCCCAGGCCTGTCCTTGGACATGGTGCTGTCTGACAAGAGATACAATGTGAGTCACACATGTATCATCAGTATCAACATTTTTTTAAAAATCAAATTAAATTAATTCTAATATGTTTTCTTTAACCCAATATATCCAATATGGGATGCAGGTGGTTAAACCAAGTGGTGGCCGCCGCCGTGGCTCAATAGGCTAATCCTCCGCCCTGCGGTGCCGGCACACCGGGTTCTAGTCCCAGTCGGGGCACCAGATTCTGTCCCGGTTGCCCCTCTTCCAGGCCAGCTCTCTGCTGTGGCAAGGGAGTGCAGTAGAGGATGGCCCAAGTGCTTGGGCCCTGCACCCCATGGGAGACCAGGAGAAGCACCTGGCTCCTGGCTTCGGATCAGCACGGTGTGCCGGCCGCAGCATGCCGGCCGCGGCGGCCACTGGAGGGTGAACCAACAGCAAAGGAAGACCTTTCTCTCTGTCTCTCTCTCTCACTGTCCACTCTGCCTGTCAAAAAAAAAAAAAGTGGTGACTTAATTGCTGTGTCAGCTCTCTCCAGAGTTATTCTTTTTTTTTTTTTTTTTTTTGGTCAGGTAGAGTTAGACAATGAGAGAGAGAGACAGAAAGAAAGGTCTTCCTTCCGTTGGTTCACCCCCAAAATGGCCACTACGGCCGGCGCTGCGCCAATCCAAAGCCAGGAGCCATGTGCTTCCTCCTGGTCTCCCATGCGGGTGCAGATGCTCAAGCATTTGGGCCATCCTCCACTGCCCTCCCAGGCCACAGCAGAGAGTTGGACTGGAAGAGGAGCAGCCGGGACTAGAACCCGGCGCCTATATGGGATGCCGGAACCGCAGGTGGAGGATTAACCAAGTGAGCCACGGCGCCGTCCCCTCCAGAGTTATTCTTAAAATTACCTTCCTGTTATTGCACTTGCCCATTGAGTGGCACCTGTACTGAAGATAGCAGCCAGATGACTGACATGTCATCAGACCTGCAAGGAGAGAGTGTCTCAAATTGGGTAAATTTTTTTTTTCTTTCTAGCAAACTGATGTAAAATTAGCTTTGTGATTTAGGTGCTGCAGGGAACGCCCACTACTCAGCTTAGCGTTGTCTGGGGAGTCCCAGTGGACAGGTGATCTAGAGAAGCAAGCGAGGCGCCCAGGGGCCTTGGCCTCTAGAAGACTCTAAGGGAAGTCTGTGATGTTCTCTCTTCCGAGTTACCTGCATTTCTCTAAAGAGGACTTAGTGAAGACAGCTGAGAGATCACTGGAAGCAATTACTGAACTATTCCTCCCTCCAAAATAAAACTTTGCGCCCATCCCTTTGAGCCCTAGGGTAGCATCTCTGACTACCCATAGGTGACTGCCTTACCTGTGAATGACCAGGTGGCCACTGTCTTCCACATGGTCCATATTTCATTTCCACCCCCTGGGGAAGCCTTGGTTCTTTAGTGCATGTATGGTGGGCATCCTTGGATGATGCCCTTAGCTGCTCCTTGTTACTGAGTGTCACAGCCAAGGGTAATGGAAGCACAGTCATTTCAGCCACAGTGACTGGCTCTGCAATTCCCTCTGCAGAGGTAGCAGGTGGAGAAGGAAGAGTTTGTGTAGGGCGAGACCATGTTGACATCATAGGCAACCCCTGGCAGAGGCCCCTTAGCATGTATGGCTGGGGCTATGGCTGCCCCTAAGGAGACACAGCGACAGGTGACAAGCCACCTCTCCTTAGGAAAGAGGGCGGCTGGGCAACTTTACTGCCCTCGGATGCTCCCCTCCCACTCCCGCATCAGACTGCACCAGGCTCTGCTGTTCTCAGGTGGCCGGACATCTCTCCATCCCCACTGCCATACCCGGGTCCTGGCTGCCATCTTTGCCACTTACTTGTTGCAGATGTGCCCACCTGGTCTCCTCACTGCCACTCACGCCCTAGTCCAGTTCCACAGAGCTGGGTGAAATACCTTTTTCAAACATTCACATGGGGGACGGCTGTTTAGTGCAGCGGGGTAAGCTGCCTCTCTGGAAGCTGGCATCCTAGATCAGCATGCAGGATCCAGTCTCTGCTGCTCTGCACTTCCCATCCAGCTCCCTGCAGGTGCCCGGGTCCCTTCCTCTCACGGGGGAGAACCAGGTGGAGTTCCTGGCTCCTGACTTTGGCCCAGCCCAGCCCTGGCTTATGCGGCATTTGGGAGAGTGAATCAGCAGATGGAAGATCCCTTTCTGTTTCTCCCTCTTGCTCTCTCACTCTGCCTTTCAAGTAGATGAAAATAAAGACTTTTTTTTTTAGCTTCATTTGGATTTTCTCACTCCCTCCCTTCAAATCCTCCAGAGATTTTCTGCTGCCTTTAAGTTGAAGCTCTACACCCTCACCGAGGCCCTGCCCGTGTGATTAGCACTTTACTTCTCCAGCCCCCTCCTTGCCTACCGAGTCCCAGCCTACAGCCCTTCTAGTTTTTTCAAGAATCAAGCCTGGTGGCCGATGTTATGGCATAGTGGGTTAAGCCGCTGCCTGCAAGGCTGGCATCCATGTGGGCACCATTCAAGTCCTGGCTGCTCCACTTCCAATCCAGCTTCCTGCAGATGTTCTTGGGAAAACAGCAGAAGATGGCCTAAGTGCTTGGGCCCCTGTACATGCATGGGAGACCTGGATGGAATTCCAGGCTCCTGGCTTCGGCCTAACCCAGACCTGGCCAGTTGCAGTCATTTGGGAAGTAAACCAGTGGATGATAAAATCTCTATTTCTATCTCTCCCTCTCTCTCTGTAACCTTGCCTTTCAAATAAATTAATTGATAATTAATAATAATAAAATTAATTAAAATAAAAATAATAATGAAAAATAAATTAATTGAGAATAAAAGAATTTGAGAACTGGGGTGAAAATTTGACCTAGCCATTGAGATACCATTAGGACACTCACATCCCATATCCAAGTGCCTGGGTTTGCATCTCAACCCCGCTCCTAATTCCACCTTCGTGTAGATGCACATCCTGGGAAGCACAAGTGATGGCTCAAGTACTTGGGCCCCTGTGATTCACAAGAGACCCAGATGGAGTTCCCAGCTCTTGGCTTTGGCTTGGCCATGACCTGGCTGTGTAGGCCTTTGGGGATTGAACCAGTAGATGGGAACTCTGTCTCCTTGCCTCTCAAATGCATTTTTAAATATTTGTTTTAATTCCAAGGCCTTTCTCACTTAGGACCTGAGCCCATGCTGCCCCCTCCCTCTCTACCTGGATTCTGCTCACTCTCTGGCATCCACTCAAACATCACTGCT